CTGCATTTAATTCTCACAATTTAAGACCCACTAATCGAGTACTGAATGGCCCAGAAGTTGCCCTGGAGACCCCAACTTTTTCTGGAAAGCTAGTGCCGTATTTAAGCCGCTTGAAAGTTCCCCTCAAGGTGCTTGCATTTTCTCACCCAGCCCGGGCTCTGGGAAACAAAAAACTAGAACAAAAAGAAGATACATTGTATTGATTGTTGTCCTCTCTAGCTTCATTGGATCTCTTCATTAGAATTCCCTTAGCCAGCGGTCTTGATTTTAAATATCCAGACTGACTCCTGGTTGCTAAACCGCATGCCAGTAACTCACGTCTTCGATCATGTGTACGTTAAAAGCCGACCTAGGTTTTGTTTTTCATCTGACCGGTATAAATAACTACCTCGCTAGCTAGCACTGTGAATCGGACAGACTCCCGGAATACACCGAAGCAAGGAGGTCTCAGCACACGGTAACTGACGCTACAAAGTCACTTACACCTTTCTCGTTCCCTTGATGACCTTAGGATCTGGAGATATCTCACGCTGTAATGGCCAGACAGGAAAGAGAAATCGTTGGGGCGAGTTATCGGCACTTTAGGTACCGTGGGGAAAAGCTGAAAATATTATCCGGAAACCTGGCAGCTCCGTAAACTTGGACACCTTGTCATCCGCTTGCTAGGCAATATGGATGATTTGAGCCAGGGGAGGGGGGATCTCTAAGGGATTTGTTTTTCATTTACCGACTCCAATTGTCTTAATTGTTCCACGCATTTTAATTCTCCTAACCCAGGAGGGTAGGGGGATCTCTTCCTGAATATCTGCGTTTCAGAATCGTTTACAATCTACACCTTCCCCGGTGGCGTGGCCGTATACACACCCTCAGTGGAACCGCAAAATAGACGCTGGTGTAGAAGGTGAAGCCTAAAAGTCTTCTTCAATTAAAAAAGTTTCTAGGAGCTGTTTCGTAGCTCAGGAGTTCGTGTGCATGCTCTTCCTCCTCCGCCTCCTACTCCCCTTTTTCCTCCCGCAGTGCTGTCGGGTTTTATGAAAATGAGCAGTATTGAAAGCCTTTCCATCCCGCTAGCTGTGAGCATCACATAAATGATGTAAATGGCTCCGAGGGTTTTTTTTCAAGTGAACTGTGTAGATCTGTGAAAATAATATCAGGGTTTTCCGTCAGAATGAGCTTAGCACTGTACTGAGGCATGCCATAATCTGACCCGACACCTCCAACCATCTGCGCTATCTATCTGCCTTCTGATTTACCAAATCTTCACAAGCAAAAGACAAACTGTACTTGATACTAAAGAAAAGACGGCGAGCTCCGGTCCAGTGCGTTTCTGCGGAGAGATGATTGGAGAAAATGTAAATCTGGTTAATTTCACTCTAAAAGCAACTGGCAAAGCACCCCTCCCCCCTTCCGTTTTGTTTTGTTTTTTTAAGAAGCCACAACAAAAGACAATCAGATTAGGAAGGCATTTCTTTTGACAACTGTTCCTTGGGGGTGGGGGATATTGCAGAGAGCCTTCGAGAATATCTTGAGTTTAATTTCGAATATATGCTGCCTTTCCGAGCCTCGCTCCTAATGTTTCCAGAAAGAAATGGCCACTGAAAAGCCCCATCTAGAATAAAACTTCGCGGCTTTTCTTTTTTTACTCCCCTTCCAGAAAACACAACGGATCCGAACAGTTCAGAAAGAGATGGCACGTCTTGCCGGGCAGCCATGATCATAATTCCGCTCTTTATTTATTTGGGGAGGCGTGGAAGGGATATTCATAAATTCGCTTCGCTCCCAGGACAAGAATCATCGGCCTCCGTTTAGCAACTGTCGGAGATGAGTATCAGAAGGCGATTAATATTTTAAAGGATTCCTAAAATATGCTTTAAGTTGCTGTCCTGACCTACGAATGACTTCTCACTTTCGATGGCAAGCTCGGCGTTTATTCAGGGCCACTCAACCGAAATCAATTAGGTTTTAAATGTAAACGTATAACGCTTTATTTGGGCAAAGGAGGGAGCTGGGAATCCCCAACATGAATCCCTCGCCCTAATTATTGAGGGGGGGTCGCAGGGCCTTGGGTGGGAGATCAATAGAGGGAGAGGAAGAGGTTGATCCGTCAAATAGTGGCTGCCCAGTTAGCACTCCTGACTCTATTCCATGGTAGCTTGCTTGCTTTGCTTATTTATCTGATTTTTTTTTGGGGGGGGGGAGGCTGGGCTGAGTGCTTATTTTCCTTGTGAGGACCGTGCAGCGCTCCCTGGGGTGCAGATCATGGGTCCTTCCTGGATTGCAGGGCTCTATAGGAGACAACGGTGGGAGTAGGGGGCTTCGAAAGGAACTAAGCAAGTCCCCTGGTTCACTGGAACCCAGCAGCTTCTTGCTGTGAGTGAGAGAGAGAGTGTGTGTGTGTGTGTGTGTGTGTGTGTGTGTGTGTGTGTGTGTGTGTGTGTGTGTGTGTTCCGCTGCAATTGGATATTGTTCGCTCCGCAAAGCGCCCTGTTTATTTTCCTTTTCGCGGCCTTGTTAAGGTGCCCGCTCCGTGTGAGAGAGCTTCCCCGCGAGTGCCCGTGGGGATGGAAGCAGGCGGGGGACTAGTTTGTTCCAGGCTGCGATTTGGGAAAGATCCCCTCAGCTCTCGGTACACAGGAGTGATGAGCAACCGGGATGCTGCGGAAAGCTGCACAGGGCAAACAGCCTCCCCCCTTGTCTAGGCCCGCGTGAGTCCTTCGCTGTGTGTGTGTGTGTGTGTGTGTGTGTGTGTGTGCGCTCTCGTGAGTGTGTGTGCTCGTCAGTGCTCACGCGTCTGTGTGTGTGTGTGCACGTGCGTGTGTCTCTGTGCTCGGGTCTGTCTGTGTGTCTGTGTGCACATGCGTGTGTCTCTGTGCTCGGGTCTGTCTGTCTGTGTGTCTGTGTGCACATGCGTGTGTCTCTGTGCTCGGGTCTGTCTGTCTGTGTGTCTGTGTGCACATGCGTGTGTCTCTGTGCTCGGGTCTGTCTGTCTGTGTGTCTGTGTGCACATGCGTGTGTCTCTGTGCTCGGGTCTGTCTGTCTGTGTGTCTGTGTGCACATGCGTGTGTCTCTGTGCTCGGGTCTGTCTGTCTGTGTGTCTGTGTGCACATGCGTGTGTCTCTGTGCTCGGGTCTGTCTGTCTGTGTGTCTGTGTGCACATGCGTGTGTCTCTGTGCTCGGGTCTGTCTGTCTGTGTGTCTGTGTGCACATGCGTGTGTCTCTGTGCTCGGGTTTGTGTGTCTGTGTGTCTGTGTGCACATGCATATGCTCGGGTCTGTCTGTCTCTCCCTCCTGCTTTTGCAAACATCTTTGAAAGTCAAACTCTTCCCAAAAGGGCGCCGGGCGCTGTCGAGCTCTAGGATCTGTGTGTCTGTGTTCACATGCGTGTGTCTCTGTGCTCGGGTCTGTCTGTCTGTCTGTCTGTGTGCACGTGCGTGTGTCTCTGTGCTCGAGTTTGTGTGTCTGTGTGCACGTGCGTGTGTCTCTATGCTCGGGTCTGTCTGTCTCTCCCTCCTGCTTTTGCAAACATCTTTGAAAGTCAAACTCTTCCCAAAAGGGCGCCGGGCGCTGTCGAGCTCTAGGAGGTGCTGAAACCTCCCCAGCGCGCGGCCTGCCGCCTGGATTGGCAGCGGCG